GCTTCACGTCGGTTTTCTCTGAGGCCGTGGTATCACTCCAGCCGAGCCGACCAATTCGTGCCGAAGCATGGCTCTCCCCCTATATGGTTTTAGTTGGTATATAAATCAACCGACTTAAAAAAAGACGGAGATGTAGTCGGTTTTTTTAAACGCAGTTTATAAAATAATCATATGTAGGTAACATATAAGAAGTAGGTACAAGTTCATCTGTTCGTAGTCGGAGCTCTGAGGGGTAAGTTGGCATTGAGCGCCAGTCGAGCGCACACTCTGATAACGAGTTAAGTTGTCGCGTCGTTACTCACTGTCCGACATACTACCGACCAAGTGATCGCTTCAAGATATCTACATTTATGTATTAAAATGTAGATGTTTTGAATTAAGCCATCGCGCGCTGTCGCATTATAGAGCATTGTAGCTGCTAGAAATGCGAACGAAAACCAGCTGGTGATAATAGTGAGGAATTTTAAATGAAAGATCATATATTATTTTGTATAGATAGTTTTAAACAATATAGTTATACGGAAGACAATAAGCAAGTGAGTTCTAAGATGACGAGTGTACACGTGAGTGATTAGCATTCCACTGAGACGATATCGATTATCGTTTAACGTCTCTTGTCTACTGTCTACTGTCTGCTGTCTTGCCACAGAGACAACATAACTGCATTAATGCTAATGATCGTCTGATAGAATCAAGATAATATGCTTAACCTATCATTTCAAAATTGAAATACAAATTTGTACTATCCATAAGATTCCTCGATTTTCATGTAGTTATATAAAATATATAATCGCTCAAATCCCATTTTCAAAAAGTTATCTCAAAATAAAAGGTGGGTGTTACATTGTACAGTGGTATTGAGTGCCGTAATGTGCACCTCTGCCTACCCCTTCGGGGATAAAAGGCGTGATGTTATGATGATGATGATGATCAATTAATCTCATGTCGTTCATCTAAGTTTACACACACCCTAAGGTCACTTAACAAATTCTGCTTATGTACTGAACCATAAGTCAAAATGCTAAACTTGAGGAGCAATCCCTATAATCTCAATGCCTATTTGTACAAATGAAAAGGCCCAGATACCAAGATAGCCTTCAGATTCCAATTGCAATGTTGTCAGAATATGTAACGGACTTAATCAAGTATTTAGTGGTCCCAGTCCGCTATGAAATGGACTGGATGTGTCCTTGGGGTGGCGGCAGTATGTCATAACAGTTTACGAGCTGCCTGGCTCGTAACATGAGGCTGTGAGAGACCAGCGACCCAGACAGAAGGTTTTCTTTAACATAGTAACAGTCTAAAGTTGTAGTTATTATGTATGTATGTATATCTTGCTGAGGTTTTTGGCCGTTGTTCTCCATGCGAATATGCTTGATTAACTCGTCGAGTACCGGTTTTGTAGACACAATTATAGAACAATAGGTTGCGGTCACCGGTGACCGCTTGGTATTTGACAGTTTAACTGACAAACTATCTAACTACAATTTAAACTATTAAATTGTATAGTTATTCAGTTTAACTGAATAACTATACAATTTAAAGTAAAACTATTAAAAATAATATAAATATAATGAAAATCTTTAACTTTGAGAGTAGACTCAAAACTATTTCACAGTTCCTCGTATTTAGATTGTTTTTTTTACGTTTAGTTATTGATGAACAGTGTTAGTTAGTGGTTCTGTTTAGAAGCTCAGACATAGTGTAGGAGTCTGCCACAAGGCCCTGGTGGCGACCTGTAACGCTCGTCAGTACTGCGAGAACGCGTTTGCGGACGGTCATGGGTAAGGTCAATAGCAGACAGAACAGAATGTAGAGATAGATAAGTCGGTAGTAGGTACCTATCAGTTTTAATTTAAACTATATTTTTTTAAACTTTATCTATTTATCAACGTTTTTTTGTCAAAATTAACTCATTATTATTTAACTCGTCAAGCACCGTCATTATAGACACAATTATAGAACAATTATAGAACCGGTGACCGCTTGGTGTTTGACAGTTTAAATCAGTTATAAGCTATCTACTTATTAGTACGTTAGGTAAACACATCCATGTTTTATTAGAAATCACAAAATTCCACCCTTTTCTATCAAACTAAGGTTCATTCAGTATGACCGCTAAATCTAAACAACTTTGCAATGAAATATGAACTTCATTGCATTCAATATACGGTCTGTTTGACATAAACACGCGTACTATGACTCCCTTGGAAAGTGTGGAAATGAGTTTTGTAGGAATAAGTGCTGTGTGGGGGTAGTTTTAAAGTTATTTACCGCGTGGCGGGCAGGCGGGTGAACGACCGGCACCCCCGTTATGCAATGTCCGACTGTCTGTCACGTCGCTATGTTGTGCCGATACCCTGGCCCGCTCGCCCGAATATGGAATAACTACTGATTGCTGACGGAAGGCCCGTTATTCCTCAGTGGGAACCAATCATAAATGACAGCATTTGAAATTATTGTGACAATCACTGTCAGAATTCCTAATGCAAATTATGGCAGAGACACTTGGTAGAGGCAACATGCAAAAACATCAAAATGTTACCGCAGCATGATTGCGAGTGTAGTAGCACATTATTAACTGCACAGCTAAAATAGAAGAATAGAGACTGTGGCGCCGTACGAAGGATGTCTTATGAACTGAACGAATGATCAGCGGAACATTGAGGACACTGCCCCTATGTGCCATAGTCGAGACAAACATTTATATCTAGCCACAATTGACTTGTGTATGAATATTATCTGACGACGGGCACAGATACATCTCACACTTCGTAATATTTTTTTTTAACATTCCCCTACATTGGGATTTTCTCCTGTGTCGTGGGTGCGTTTACAAATATACACATACACAATGACACCCAGACCCGAAACAACAATTTGTGGATCATACAAAGTGTTGTTCCGTGCGGGAATCGAACCCGCGACATGTTGCACGGCAGCCGGTTGCCCAGCCACCGCACCAACCGTGCAATCAGTCAATATTTGTTTTTAGTTCTCATAAATAATTTAGTAGGTACTGGAGTTGTTGCTGATACTGGTCTGGAGGTCATTTTGTTATCACAAACAAACAGTTCCAATATTCTATACATTTTAGGAAGGAGTACAGAGGAAGCATATTGGAACCTAGAATGAAATAGAATCATTTATTTGCCTAGAATATAGCACGAATATACGTATCATATACATATAATATAATCTTAGGAAAGTGCAAACTGTACATTGATTATTTTTTTAAAAGAATGCTTGGAGCGTGATCTACAAACAGTACCGAAGCTAAAAATACGGTTTATAGAATTTTTGTCTGTTTGTCTGTATATAAGTCCGGGCTAAGCTCAAAAAGTACTACACGGATTTACTTCAAATTTTTACATGAATATTACTAAAAGGTCGGGTCAACATATAGGCTTCATATCTTCACGCTATCACCTACGAGGAAGGAGCTGTGAATCACTATTTTATGCGAACGAAGTCACGGGCAACAGCTAGTAAAGATAAAGTATCTGTAGTTTGGCCATTTGAATCATATTTATTAGACAGGCGGATGAATCACTAATGTGCATTACATTTTGGAAATACTTCTGAATCCGTTCGTAAAAGTTCTAGTAGTTAATAAGCCTTTCATGAGTCAGACTGGTTAGTGATGAAACATGAACTTGTTTTGCCATTCTACACAACGAGGTGATCCCGCACGAGGATAGGAAGATGAATTAACAAAATAGACGTTCAAAGGAAACCTATGTACTATTTTAAATAATACGTAGCTACAAACGTACGAGTATTCATGTTTATTTCATTGATTAGAAGCGTGTTTGAATTAATGAAATACGACGTGGGAGGTAGTGACGAGCGCGAACTCTGACTTTATCCAGATTATGTCGGTATCGTTGGAATTAGGTACAACCAAACTGTAGAGTACATTTGTCACTAACCGTATTCTTCCGGTGGGTGTCGTAAGTGTTGGTTAACAGAGACCGGGCAGCAGCGCTATCTGACCAACATAAACGTTATGAAGTGCTATCTGCAACCCAACTGTCAGGCGTGAAGTTTGTGGTAAAACCTCGGCGACCCTTACAGTTACAGCAGTGAACTACCGCAGGCTGGTGATGCGATGCATTTAAACCCAGTTTACAATAGTTAGCTTGGCTAGATAGCTGTTTTACTGCCAGCGTCGTGGGTGTAATGGTTCTGACAATCAGCTTTACAGGTCACTGAACAATCTCGAGCGAAGACTTTGATACTAAAATACATTGCAACGCAGATTCTAGACAATGTTATGGCATATTTTGTTTCCCCTCGGATAGCCTGTATGTCTATGTTAACATATAATTACACAAATATGTAGATACTTGACTTATTCTTTATTAAATATTGGAAACATTAGACGATACTGATTTACTTAACAACGGCGATACATTACTGCATTCTCTCCAGTCCCACGCTGGGCGCCAATAAATTTATTCGTTATAATGAATCGGAAACGTTAGGATTTAAATTGAGAAAGTAAGAGAACAATGTGGGGTCAATGATACCAGTGCTTTGTAGCGAACCGGGTCACAAGGCCATTGTTAAACCACCAAAGTAGTACAGGCTTTACATGACTGCGACTTCTTTCATGCGATTCTATTACATACGATCCTTTGTAGCATTTACATTAAGGAAATTGCAAGGTTCACTTGTTTCACAGAACAATTACCCAAACCAAAATGTACTCATTGAGGAAGTCTGGTAATCTATAGAATAGAATAGAGAATTTTAAGCACTGTCTCTCTCTCTCTCGGAATATGTCAAGAACAAGCTACAAACATTACACAAAAACACTCGTAGCAAATTAGTCCGTACACAAATACAGCCACAAGTATGATTTATACCTGTCGATACAATTTACAAACAAAAATGAATAGACCCCCAATTCGCACCCTATATAGACAAGCTCCCTTCTTTTACTCCAATTAGAGTACAGATGTACGTAACCGCGGCACGCGTCAGCCCTTACTCACCGGTGGCTCGACATCACCAGGGTATCATCCGAAACAAAACAATAAACACTGCACGAGCGACGACACCACACACACGCGCGTCCTCCAGCGGGGTGCGCGACGCACTGACGACTTTTGCGAGGGTTGCAAGCTTTCTGTTTTACTATACCCGACTTGAGGCAAGCAGGTATCGGTTGTTGGGCAATTATAAACTTTTCTTTTGACCCGGGTTCTAAAATGTTACGAAAATATTTAATTCTCTGAAATTCGGCTCTAAAGTCTTTGAAATTCTATGCGCAAAGGGTAGATACTTCCGGTTTAGACTAGTGTGATTATCTACAACCGTTAGAAACCTTCTTACTGTATAATGGACGCGCAGCCATTTCAATTTATTTTAATCCACTAAACTTGGTTTCATTATTATGTGTTAACATTCGATGTTTAAATTTTAGGTAAGTATCATAAAAAAGAATAGATGCAGTAGAAGGTTTTCCCAATTTTAAAGGTAACTTTCCACCTTGTAACCCCATCGCATGAAGGGGTGCGAGGGTGCGTTCAGCAGACCGGACATCGGACAGAGAAGCTTAATTGTCGCCCACCGGCGCGGGCGTGATGCCTGACGACAGGCAGCGTCGCTACGTTTATTATGACGACGTAACGCGTCACTGAGACGTCACTATTTCAATATGAGTAATTCAGCAATGGTATGGAAAGGTCGACTACCAGATGCAGAACATGAACTTTTGAATACAGTAGCTAGCTATATGAATAACAACTCTAATTAACCATCCCGTAAAGGGAGCATCTAGATTTGCAGAAGGCAACAACTTATACACAGAGCTAACAGTCCTTATGTACTAGTTCTAACAGTGCTTACTTCTCACTTTGAGAAAGAACTAGTGGGTAGTAGGACAGGGGAAGATCCAGAGTGTTTGTTTCGAGTGTCGCGACGGCAGGAAGTAGTTTTATCTAGCACACCTAGGTACCGACAACCGGAGGTTGGGAGATGAGACGGTTATGATATTTATTAAGGCTCAACGATCTCATTATTAGGTAACTGGAGACAGTTTCCTGAAACGATATCCTACCATAGCCCTGGTACTTTACTATAATAAGTGTAACTACGGTCTTGTCTGAAGGTAAATTGTGTCTAAACTATGTACCAATGTCTATTGAGTACTGTAACATTGCGCGGATTACCCGAAAGGGTTGACTCTCCAATTCTAGTACAAGATCGTAAATTCAGCAAATAACCGCGGCATTGTACTTGCGGTATATTACGCAATCGTGCCAAGGCCGGCTAGGACATTGAACTTCTATCCGGAACTTTCAGTTCAAAGACACTGCTTTTGCTTAAAATATTCCAGAAATTTGAAAGAAAAAGACAGATATAATTTAACTGTTTTTACTTAACAATTGTAACTGTAACACAGTTTCATTCCAAAAAACCGTTATTTTGACTTTGTAATGTGAATAAAACAATAGAAATGTAAAGTTTTACTTCCTAATTGTAAAAATATAATGGCTCTTCTAACTATTCTCTACATCTTTGCTTTAATCTTGTATTAATGAATGCGTAGCTTAGTTATTTGTTTTAAACTCATAACAATGCCGTAATTACAAGGTTTCACATTTCATATTTACGGAGAAGGTTTTCGAACGCGTGCGGATTCTGGATCAATATGGCGGGTGGCGGGAACAAGACGAAAACGCGGGAAGCTTGTAGCGCGCCATTTTGTCGTTACTATAGCAACCAGACGGAGCCTAGAGATAGGGTTCAGACATGTAATAAGTTCTTTTTGTGGTCTTTCTATTTATGTCGGAATTGTTCCTGATAAATTAATTTTCCTATCAATTGATACGTTAAACATTTTAGCATTTCAATCACTAATCAATATAATAAGTAACATGAACAGATAGGCAAGTGTTTAGCATTGATATTGGCTTTACCTACAATATTGCACGAGACGAATGATGACTAGTACGAAGGTAGGGCCGTGAGGTCTCAGATTGTGGGCCCCCTGGTTAGTAGATTACATGTACAGCATATACTTGTAGTACCTAGGTACACTTCTCGTCCGTCTGTCGGGCTCGGAATAACAGACGAGATGTGTAACTACGTAAAAATTAGTTAATTAATAAAAAATCGCGGGTTATTGACGTAAATATACTGAGAAAAGCTTTACTTGTTTCGAACCACAGAGGGGTTCTTCCTTAGTGTGAGAGAGTTGAAGTGTGATGTGTGTCATAAATATTACTCGTTATTAGTTATGTAGGTAAATAGCCAGTCGTCTGCAATATTTATTATGTCTGTATCTGTAGTGAGAGCCTTGGCTACGTACTTAGTGGTAAAGTCAGGCGCAGCATAAATACAGTTTTAACATTATTTATTATAGTTATTTGCATAATACTGTGAATGCTCAGTCTTGCCTTAACTCAAAATTTTAATTCATAACATGTGCAAAATATAAGTATCTACTGAATGGCAGAAAGCATTGAGTGTCCATTATTTGAATAGACGGTGAGAGCAAACACCTGCGGGCCCCACACAACACGAGGCTCTTGAGGTAACTAGCTCAGGGAACTGCAGTCTTAGGGGAATCTTAATAAGAGGGTACTTACCAATTTATTTATGTCCCGTTAAAACGAATTGGGGGACGTGACTTTTGATTTCTGTAAGTGATTGTTTCAACAGACAGACATTATTTAACTAGTTGTGTGCTATGCGTTGCATGCTGTGCCATGTTCGCATTACTGAGAGTACCTAAACTTAAAGCTAACGTTTACAAAATATTGATGACATGCATCATTCGGACTTTCAAATATTCTTCCTTAGTTTAGATAACTTTTTAAAGCTCAGAGACATTTGATCTGATCAGAGAACATGAGAGACCCAGTTGTCCATTATTGTCTGATCGCCATCAAAGAGTCAGACGTGTTGATTATGTTTAACTTATAATTAACGTTTCTTCCTCAAACCAGAAGTAAGATGAATGTAACATAATGAATGTTTGTGAGTAGTGGCCTACTTACACACAAAGGCTGGAGAGCCTTACAGCCCGCAGCCCGCAGCCCAGTGAATCGACCCGAGGCGTGTAAATAGAGAGATGTCACGCGAACTGCAGGCGCCTGCTGTAACACGCGCGCGACCATGTAGGTAGCTACAGTATTGTACACCTACTGGCTGTAGCGACGTAGCAAAGTCACTGGGAACTGCTGAGCTATGGCTATGCTGTGTGGCACAGCATACACTATATTTCAATGTTAATAGTAAATTATAGATTAAAGTATCCAAACAGAGGGAGCGGTCGGCGGACACAAGATACTCTCAAGTAAATAAAAAGAGGGATTTTTATTTTATTTTTTTTAAGGGGGAAAATCATCGAATGACTGCTCCCGGCTGGGTGAGGCGGGAGGGAGTGTCAGACTCTTACTGACTAAAAACCACCCCGTTCCTTCTCCTGCACGTCGAGCCGGAGCCCCGGTTACCCGTTAGGTTCTCCGCGACAAATAAAAAGAGGGTAGGAACTTAGGAAGGAGTACATTTTCTGTAGCAGCGTAGCTTAGCCGTAGCCGGTTAATAAACTTTGACCTACTTAATTAAAAATAATAAACTGCAATGGCGGACTTTGCTCGTGTGTTCTAGCATAAAATAAATATTAATCTGTGACTTCCGTACATGGCTGGCCCGAGCGTGGGGCCACAGGGAGCTAAGTGGGTCACGCAGGAGCCCCAGCCGACAGGCGACCCATCAGGTGGGGCGCTACATGCGAACCCAATGCATCAAAATTGAGTCCTTTTATGAGCCCGTGTAAAGCTGGCTCATTAAAATGCATGACGGGCGTGGAAAGTGTTTCAGTTGACTTTGAATGTCTGACAATCGCATTTAGAAACTAGTTTTTATTTTGCTAACGTAGGCACTTATAGGTATCTACTTACTACATTGTGTAGCAAGCAAAGCATAATAATATCTTGCGTTTAACTGTTTGTATTATTTATTTTGTGTGTTATTATCGATTTGTCACACTGTGTTCCGTTGCTCCCGTGCTGTAACTCTACCGATCTGAATATCTAGGTATACTAGGCATGTCGCCATAGAACTGGAATAGGAAATTGCACGGCTGAACAGTTGATTACATTCCAGACTCGACGCTCCAGTAATCCAATAGCTCCGATAGTTACCTTTGATGTAGTGCACTGAATTATCAGGCACCTGACAGCGCGAGCCTCGTTACAATAGTTATGCTCTTTTTGTCACTCCTCGTTGTCGTTCAACTCTGCCACGCGACCATAGTATTGTAACGCGAAAGCTCGCTACCAGACTACCAGTGTTGTGGACTTGTGCCCGAGACCAAACGACAGTGTCTACTTTTATGTAAATCTGGTTTGTAAGTTTCTCATTTCTGATAACAGTGAAACGTCGAGTAAAAATTAATCATTTGTGTTCTTGGTATGGGGCACTATCATTACAGGCCTACTTATATCTGAGTACTTTGGAAATAAAAGAGCATTTTTTGTGTTGCTAACTTTGTTTTCCGGATTGTTGGAGATCTGGCATGTGTCGAACAGTTCAAATGGATTAATATTAAGATGACTACTTAACATCTGCCTACATTAAATCTCAACCTTTGAAGGTAACATCCTGTTGTCATAGAGATAGTATAGCTAGTGACTAATGAAACCAAACTTCCGTGGTAAGCATATATCGTCGATCCAGCAGAGAACGTGCATGTTGCGATGAATGCTTGCTGTTGAGTTTCGAAGAAACTATACCGACTAAGGGAAGTGGTACCGTCTACTATCTACTCAATCTACTGCGAACATTTTTCAACAAAAAATAATAGCTCGATAAAGCGTAACGGATGACGACCCGGGATAAAATATACGAGAAGGTAAAACCACACACGATACAGGGGTGGCAAACATATTTTAAAAAAGACAAATTATTAATTTACTCTTTTACACTACGAATTTAACAAACGACATGCTAGACTCGATGGAACCCTAACTAAAACTGGTTTTAATGAATACGAATCATTTATTTCTATTGACAACAAGAACTCATTAGATTGGAATCTACACAAATTTCGCACTTGATTTTTATTAATTTTGCATTATGGCTATTTAATAGGGTAGTTTCCTAAATTTTATTTTAATGTCCGTCTGGTATATTAATTTAAAACTTTAGATACGTATTTTTTCTTTTCTCACAAAACTAATTAGTTTCGACGATATATTAATTGACATATCCTGTGACGTCACAGCGTGTCACATTTTCTAGCACGTTATGACGTAACGACCTCCCACTCCTAAACTTAGCCTCATTTTATCTAAGTATTGCAACTTAATACGAGAAAATAAAAAAATACGTGTCTAATATTTTTTCATTATCTAACTGACGGACTAATTAGATTTTTAATTTTGATACACTGGAAGCTACCCAATGGGCCCTTAAATTTAAATACTTACAATAAATTTAGACGTTGGACGTCCCTGTGGCGGGGTTGTGTATGTATGCTACATGTATTTATTTATAGCGTGGGTATGGTCCCGAATTCTTGAGGTGTGCGTGGCGCTGCATAAGTAGACCTGATTTATGACTACCGGGGTTGGAGCTTACAGCCCTAGCACTGCGATATTGTTTTACTTTTCTCCAATATAATAAGACGATATTTCTTGTCATATCGGCGCAAATGATTTGTCGCTAGATGTATCAGGTACATTTTATACAACCTTTAAATTGTGGCATGACGTTTGGCTACTGTCTGTAACTGTCTCGCCTAGTAGGTAGATATTGAGTTAGGAGCTAGGAATTATAATAAAAGATTGTATTCTTGTAAATAATTATTTACTTGCACATACTTTTATGAAAGGTAAGAACTCTTAGATGTAAAATATTGCTATATAATTATGGCTCACACTGTAGGTACAGGGCCATAAGTTCATCCTATTTCATGTAGAGTCTGTCTCTACCAGACTCTACCTAAATCACAAATTCTAAATCGCATTTGATTTCGTTTATAATACAAAAGTAAGTTCGCGTACCTAGTACTGTATTATTCCGAATTATTTTGAAGAGTATTGCTATTAATATTTAGTTTTAATCACGTGTGACTGAGAAAGTAGGTAACTGTACCTATGTAATAATTTTATTAGACTAGGGAAAGAAAAGGAATATGTGCTGCAAGCAAGGTTGTAAGTACTTATACAGGTGTAACTTGACAGGTGATGGTAAAAAACAACAACAACTATTATTACATAAAAGAAAAATTAAATGTTTCTTTTATGTGATAGTAGTTGTAATCATCTAACACGAAAACGATTAAAATTTCAAAAACAAAATCAATTTTTCAACCCTGTATAGTTTACAGTTTTGTGAGTGAGTTGTTAGAATCTACAATTTTTATCCAAACCAACAAATACTTATTTGAACCGTATATAAATATAAACGAGAGTGTAGAGTTGAAGCAGAGGTTCAATTGAATTTGAACGCATTATATCTTTCGGAATGTTGGCTAACAGAATATTTGACATTAGCTCGTTCGTTCAATAACAGTAGGCTGTTTATGTCTGTGTCTATCTAATAAAACAATATTTATAAACTAACGTTTGAATTGTGTTTATTTTGTTATATTATATTTCAATATTTTGCTCGTTAAAAGTATAAATACCTAAGTGAAAAGAAAAATAACTCACCAGTTGCATGATTTTCAATCATTATCAATTGTATCTCTGTCGCCCGACGTTTTCAAAATTTCAATCTGTCACATCACATCACTTTAAACGTCACAGCGAACGCGATTTTCGTTACACTCTAGTTGAACAGTTAATTTATTTAGAGAGGAAATTAAGTAGTTATTACATGTTTATATTATGTTCTATTGTTAACTTGACGGAGAAAATTCCGTCCAGTATCTGATAACAACACCAAAAATTATAAAACAATGAGGTAAGTAATTTTACTTGTTTATCGACCATCAGCTGTCTGCAATTCGGTTGACGGGCGTGGGATGACTGAATGCCACTGCCAACATGCAAATAATGTTTCATGCAAACACTGTTGATGGGCTCCGGTGGTAATTCCGCAGATAATATTCCATGTGCGTGGATCCCGCGGTCATAAGAAGGTGGCGGGGCGCAGCAGTGCAGGGACAACATGACGCGCCCGGGACCTCCCAATGAGAACCTGCCTACGGTAAGTCGTAATATTAGCTACACTATTATCATATTAATTAGATCTTTTTTTTACAATAAATGTGCATGACAATAACAGTAGAGCTATAAATAAAAAAATCTACATATAACTAATTTTTATTTATACAAGTAAAGTTGATAGAATTAAAAAATATATTATCCAAGGTTATCTAAAAATAATGACACTCTGGTACATGGAACATTTTAGGCAAGTTGCAAGTAAGATGAGTTCTTAAATTAGATTGTTCAGTTGTTTCCTTACAGGAAACTAGTTTCTTACTTGGGTAATGTTGTGCAATGTTGTTGTTCTCATTATGATTCAAACAGGGAAGTGGGCCCTGTAGTAGCAATATACTTGTTAGCTCTATATTTATTACTTCCCTGTGCTATCTTTCTTATCATTTTAGGCAGATAAGCCTTGGTTATCATATGAATCTGAACAACTCATATTGATTGTAAACATCTAGTTAATCTGTAGTGTCTATTAAACAATATTGGAGTCTACTACCTACCAAGTGCTACGGCTAATATTCTGAATGATTGACATTGTTCCCAACTTGTTCTTGCAAAGTTTTATTGATTCTAGAACTGTGGTCATGTCTAACAACTTGTCACATTCATTTACATAACAATTTGGTAGCTAATACTAATATGGTAGAGTACAATGAGCAGTCAGTGGCCATTTGTCCGAGCTGGTACCGTTGCTTAAACAATAATATAATGTTCAATGGCAAGTCAATAGTGGACAAACAGTAAGCTTTCTGCCAGAGCTTGCAATAGTAGATAGGTACATTCTGGTGTAATTGTCAGTTCTCAGGCTCCATGTAGGCCTACTTCCATGAACCCAGTATACTGTACACCTGCCAATAATTATGATACTAAAATAGTATTGACAAATTGTAGTTATTGTACAGGAGTACTTGTTTCTATATATTATGTAGATGTACAGTGAAGAACCTAGATTTTGAAATGTTTGTGTGACTAGTGTGGGTGGTGTGTTTGTTTTATAAGTTTGTGCCATTTTAAAACAGAAAGCATTAAATGTGTTATTGTGTCTGGCAAATGTAAAGCTCAATTAAAGTAACACAACAATGACTTACTATTAAAGCTGTATGTTTGAAAGTTTACATTGTCAACATTTGTTCTGAATAGATTGCCAACCTTTGATGTGTGGGTGTCTATGCACACAAGTATATGATTATTTTACTTATGTTAGTTCTTTGAGCAAAGGTTGTAAGTATGGTGACTATTTTGCTGGTTATGTGTGTAATATTAACATGGCAGTTGTAAAACATATTAATGTCATCTTCAGTGAAGTTGACCCTCTATCAAATTCAATATCAGCCGATTGAGATCAATTGAGTGTAACACCTTATTGTGGACTTGAAAGTGCCCGGTGTATATAATTATATAAAGATATAAATATGTTTGTAGTTATGTTGTGTAGTTAAGTTTGATGTGACTTTGTTTGCAGTGTGGCCGCTAGATGCATACCAAGTATGTCCTTGTTCAAAAACAGTGACAGTGTTAGTGTACTGCTTTACATTTATATTATACTATAGTTACCTGTAGCCTGAGTATTCATCCACTCTCTATTTCTTCATTAATTATTTGAGTTGACTCGAACCCCCTCATCATACCCCATTATATAGTCATAAATGGAGTATCTTTATCTCAAATGCTTTGTGTAATAAATTGGTAAATTATAATAATGTCATGGTAAAATAAATCTTACTATCAGTTGTTTGCTTCCAGTTGCCACCCTGTCACTTGGTATAACTATAATGATGCGCTAATAACCTCTCTTCTCTACTTTTGCACATCTCTTCACCCAACTGACCTTACTGACCCCTGCCAACATACAATATTATTTAGTATATATTATTCTTTATTAATATGCTGTTCACTATTTTCAGATTAAACTGGTGGTGGTGGGAGATGGCGGCGTGGGGAAGAGCGCAATCACGATCCAGTTCTTCCAGAAGCTGTTCGTGACGGACTACGACCCCACCATCGAGGACTCGTACATACAGCACACCGAGGTGGACGGCCAGTGGTGCATCCTCGATGGTGAGTGATACGCTACAGGCTGAGGCACGGGACTCTAGTGAGGGACTGTTGTATTGAACCGCTCTGTATCGCACCTAGTACTGGACACGGCGGGGCAGGAGGAGTTCAGCGCCATGCGGGAGCAATACATGCGCAAGGGGGACGGCTTCCTGCTCGTGTACTCCGTCACCGACAAGCAGAGCTACGAGAACATTCGCCACTTCCACACACAGATACTGCGGGTCAAGGACAGGTGAGACTGTGCAAGGGGGGGGGCTTGTAGTCTGGCTCAGACATTTGTACCGTGACACGTGACTTTGCAGAGACACGTACCCCATGTTGCTAGCCGCCAACAAGGTGGACCTCGTGCACGTGCGCGCCGTCAGCGAGGAGGCAGGCCGCGAGCTGGCGCGGCAACTGGGCGCGCCCTACATAGAGACCAGTGCCAAAGAACCGCCGCTCAACATCGACGCCGCCTTCCACGAGGTGAGTGTACCGCCTGCCTGTACCCCTCACTGCCACGAGGTGATCCCACCCGCTTGTACGCCCTCCCCTGCTTTCCACGAGGTGCGTGGCCCGACCACCGGTAATCCTCCCCCGCCTTTAACGAAGTGAGTGTCCCCCTCGCCCCTCGCCCGCGCTCCCCTGGCCGGCCGCGTAGTGACAGCGGAGTGTTCCAGTTGGTGCGCATCATCCGCAGCCACCCGCCGCAGGAGTCCAAGCCGCGCGGCCGCCGCAAGCTGCGCTGTACGCTGCTGTGACGCGCCCCTGCAGTACGGAGTACGACGGCGGTACGAGGCCGGCGCCCGTACGCCAGTAATGCTACTTGTATTGGTAACTGCGTGGGAAGCAATCACGAAGCTGTTTGTTGATAAACAAGAGGTATATGTTATTGCACCAATATATTCGCGAGTAAGGCTTGTACAGTGATGTTAGAGCGCATAGTACATACATGTAATGCGTAGCTTAGTCATATTTTTATATTGACGTGAGAATATAAAACTATATGTCGAACACAAATATTTTGAAATCGAAGCTTTAAAGGTTTCTACTGACTAGAGTGTATCACGCAATAGTGACGTCGGGCTTCGACTACAGCTGCGGGATACAACATTACTTGAATGCTTCAGTAGGAGGCTCGCTGTGTCGCTGTGTCGCTGTGTCGCTGTGTCGACGCGCCTTCGTATGAATGCACAAACACTACGGTCACGTCTGCGAGACGTGAACCTAGATATGTTATAAGATGAATTGTTTATTTCACATATATGTATTATGTACCAATGCGTAGCATTTACTTAGCTCGGTAAGTGTCCATAGTGTAAGCAGACATTGTGACCAATACATTGTGGATATGTAATTATTTTTGTTCTCGTTAGTATTATTTTGTTAGATTAAGTTACGCGCACCAGGGTCGGGTCTCGGCTCAAGCATACCACTTATTTTTACTTTTAATGTTTTACGCACACTTGGGATGCATCTATGCAAACTGTTTAGTGTTGGTACGCAGACAATGCCTATTGTATGAGCCTAAGTGACTGAGCAGAAGGCATGCAACAACGTTTATCTAGGTCATGAAGTGCTGGCCGCGGCGCGGTGCAGTGTGCGCGTACCTTAATGTTGGAACCAAAGTCAGTCGGGGCGGCTCGACGACCACGACACTTGAACCCACGATGTGTTTGGCACATGGACCATTTCTTCAAGGATTGGGGAAGCCTTTAGTCCATATGTCACTTGGTTGGTCATGTATGTCACTAGTGAAAATTTAACCAAAAATTTACATATTTAAAAAATTACCCAATATATTTCCGTCAACTCAAAATAACTTTTTTGTTAGTGGGCCAAATTGAATATTGTAGTATAAGTACTCCAACGTCTTTTTTTTTTTTTTATTATGGGACAAGCCCGCCACAACCTCCCAAAACCGCTGCAACTCCTGTAAGCCAGGATCTACAGTAGATACAACCATGAAAACACCGGCACACTGAAGTCCGGCGCGTCCCAGGGACATGAGTAACTGTCTTGGTTCCCGCAACGAAGTGAATCAGAAGATATTATAAGAGGAGAAGAAGAAAAAACTATGGTTTTCACTTCCCTCGGTGAATTACTGCAGGAGACAGAATGAATTAAGCCTAAAGGCACAAAGAAGAGACTGTACAACTGGGTGAAGCCCAGTCGCCAAGCACCACGGAAATTTGACTAAAAACTAAGTGGGTCCTATGTGTGAGCTGTTATACTTGCTTCCAATAATAGGTATGGCAAAAACGCCTAAACGCACGGAAATTCGTTCTAGATTCCACAAGGTCCGTGTGTACGTTCATATTGCCAGAGATCACACTCCCAGAGTATGTGATGGGCCGACTGCTCGTATCGCAACTGTCTGTCGAACATTGGCACCATGGTGAATCAATAAGTTTAAATGAGAACAATTTGCCTTTAAAGTTGTCGTGGCCAGTAAGAAATTGGGCAACACAGTGATCCACCTCCAACCATGTCCTCTCCAGCCGCTCATGCACGGAAGGGAAGAACTGATACAGGTGGCGGCCCTTAATAGAAGATGCCCATCTACCCTGCTATTCAGTTATAAGCTCAACGTCTATTAAATCTAAATACATCTTTGTTCGATTTAAATGACTACAAAAAGGAAGAAATTTGACAAGCTTCCAATGTTGAACTTTTCTCATTCACACATATGAAAATTTTAAACTTCTTAAAGGTTGGTCACACCAACCGTGACATTTGGGACAAAGGGTTTATGGGTAAAATGTACCTAATGACCTCACATATCCCTGAAAAATTCTGTCAGTCCATGCGCCATAGACCCTCTATACATATATTGTATTTAAATAGTAAGGTATACGTCACAGTTGACAATAAATTACTTCCATCGTTCCCTCAGACGTAGCCGACACCGTTTTCAAGACACAGTGTCGTGTCGAGCCGCTAGTACATAGGTATAGCTCGACGCATTTGTTATACACACGCCAAAGAGATTTCCTAAGTATCTAACTTTTATTTATAAGTAAGTAAGGTGTACATTTCAATGTTTAAACGTTAATTCTAAGAGCGGCTGTCGAGGCGGCGCCCGTACCCAGCGAATGAGTACTCCCATATTGTTTGTACGCATTTAGCTGACATGCAACGGAATACAAATACTAAGCGATCACCTGACAATTAATTGGATTTGACATGTGATCATACTGACACACTGACAGTAGGTACCGCGGGCCGCCGCCGCCCACTGCAGTATGTACTCAAACTATTTCAGCATAACGTTCAAATATACAGTCGTGAGCTCTGCTCATCATACTGTCCTCGCAGTTCCACCACTACTTAGATCGTTATGTAATAACTATTTATTCTAGTTCAAGCGAACATAGGCTGAGAGTACCACTGCCAACTGGCAAGTGACCATTTGTACGAACAAGTTACTTAGTAATCCCAGTCGACACAAGTGTGCCACGTCTATTATCTAACTGTAACAATCACCACAGTATTCCTTTGACATTCACTCCACTGTTCCGAAGAACAAAGCAGACGCTATACCGCGACACCGACACCTAGTCATAAGTACATGTAGTCTATGCTAACGAAACACTGTCAAGGAATTGAACTCAGGAATAAATGAGTGTTCGAATTGTAGCATAAATATGTAATAGATTGTAAACACTACTTCTACTGCTGACTAAGTAATATAGTGAACGTAATATGTTATTTGTACTTTATTGAAGTTCGCTCGGGAGTTGAAACTCAGTTAGAACATAAACTGCAGCTCGCACTCCTCGCAGGTCGACAGCCAATAATAAAACTATGTTCATTAAGTACATACTTGATGCGACGGAATTGTCTGTGGAGCTTCTACTACACTCTTACAACAAGAAGATCACCCGCGACATATTGCACTGCAGCCGGTTTATCGATCGTGCAGTCCATTCACTTGTATATTAGCACTATGATAGAGCCGGGAGCTGGGTCAGTGCTGGTCCCGGCCTGTCACCGCAGCCTCCTCCGTCGCTTCACGACTCGCCACAGACTGCTCTATGGAACTGAGAACCCTCAGGCAGCGCATTGCCACTGTAACCGACGCGACTTGCGCGTGCGCATGCCACAATACATGTTATATGTAGTTGTTTCTCTAGATTGCTATATTATTTCACTACTGACTTCCAATACAAAGCAAAATATTTATTTTAAGATAAATACTTGAACAATATTTTTTTAACAAGATAAACATATTTTATATTGCATTATTGTTGTTATCCTTTGATCTAGTCCTTGGATTGTGTCCAGAATACGAAGATGATAAAGAAATTAAATTAGTTGTGCGCTGCCCCGTTTAGTATCGGCGTAATGATAAATGATCGTATATTGTTGTTACTATATGTTTTGTATGTTGTAACATATAATAAATGTAGGAAACTTATTCACCTGTTTCATTACAACCTCGTCTTCCTACACAAACATATCTACCAAAAAAGTATTTGCATGAAACATGAGGAGTTTGCAGGCGAATGACAAGCTCTATCAACTCGGCGCGCAGACTATCAACCAGTCTGAGTCCGACGACGAATACTAATTAATTATTAATTTGAAAACGATTTCATTATCATCAATTCATGTTAGGTTACGATTTAATTTCATGCCTAACAAACCTCTATTGTACTGACAACACTACTGAAAACATGAACTACATGAGCGCCCCCTTTGTAATACAGTCGGGAGTTAGCAAATTAGCCGCCGCATAAGACAACGCCACGCCGTACGATTGCCGAATTGCCGTTAGAGGGCGTTGCTTTAGTATCTCGTAGAACGATCATAGATGGCGCGACCGGTCCTCTTAACAGTTTAGAGCGGATTGGTAATATGGTTGAAAGTTTATTTTAATCGACAGAGGACGCTCGTGTCGCTTCGCGTGGCATATTTGTAAATGTTGTCGCAATATTTTTCTTCGGTAGGTACTTAAACTGTACAATGGACAATATTTTTCCGGCAAGTTCCATTCCTAATTAAGCGTAATAATACGATACTTGGCGGAACAAAGAGTAAATAGGCCAAGGCGGCGGTAGCTGTGGGCCAGCGCTAATCTGTACCGCACGTGAGACGGGTACTAACGCCATGCTTTTGTTTACGCTAATTATTTAGCGACGTGCAGAGACATCACAATATGCCGCGTCGTCCGTTTGTGTTGTTTCACTACTTTTTGCGGTTTCAACAATCCTGTAAAACGAGAGTCTTAGAGCCTGGCACATCCGATGCATTTTCCCATCTTGCCACTTGCCAGTTGCCACCCTGTTCAATTGTTACGTCGCCTCCAGAATCATTGTAATTAAGTAGGGGGTGAGCCTGTTATTATCGAACACCGGGAAAAATTCCAAGCCAAAGCTATTATTACGAATTTTAAATAGGAAAATGAGATATTGCCTTATTCGGGGGTCGACCTAGAATCGAAGGACCGCAGTCTACATAATTATTATATTATTGGAAATCAGAAGCGGGTTGATTTTTTTTTTTAAATGTACAATTTATTACCTTAGGACTAAAATTAGAATTATTTAAACAATAATCGAAAATAAATGAGACAAATTCATATCTGAACAAAATTAATACAAAATGATAACAATCTACACTCGTTATACCTATATGTATAAAACATGACAAAACCTAAACTATGACCTAACGTCTATCTCACACGACGGATGGCGACCGAATAGGGGCAAGGCGCTGGTATTTAGCCTGTTGGCCGCTTATATAGATACTGTCATCCTAACCCCACTCTTAACCTAAGAAATGTCCAACAATACAACATATTTATACTATCATGCCTAGTATGTAGGTTTACCTGTATATCAATATTTCACTAATTGCAAAAAACTAGAACTGTGTTTGGCATCTCCAGCATTCATCTATCTCTTGATACAATATGTTCACTTGATTACTTCCATCCATCGCTTCCAAGTATCCGCGGTAACATCCTCGTGTAGTATTAAGTCGTTAACTAGGAACATCCAGAGAGCTCCCTCGAGCGCCCGGAGACGTGTACCGCACTACCGACCACCTGAGCAACGATGTGATTATTAACTTCATCAACACAGATTCAATGTGATCCCTGTTCACACTTGCCGACCTATTTACTTGATGATATATTATAAACTGAGCATTAACAATAACAACCTTTATACCCCAGACTCACTCGCGTTTTGCACAATAGGTACCTAAGTACTTAGCGAATACCTACACTCCTAACTCCTATTGTGATCCGAGTTTAAGCTATCTACTTACAGCCATTAATGAAAACAGCAGGAAATTGAAGTATATATACGTCAGTGGAGGGCTCGGCGCGGTGGGTATATCTACACATTTTGATTAGCTACGTTATTGTGTACGGCGCTCGGAAGGGCTCGGCGCGGCGGTGGGGGAGGGCACTTAAATATAAAGTACACGTAAAAATAAATCGACTTCAAAAAGCGAAAATTAACTTTGATTTGGGAAGTCCTTGAGTTTCATTTATTTACTTCCGAAAATTAAGTTATTTTCCGGTTACCAAAGTGGATGCGCTACAGCAACATCATTAACTCTACTTGGTTCTCGTGTTAAATATGTAAAGGTGAGTACTTAGAGATACCGATGTAAAGTCAGTAGGTACTTAGGTAAAGTTTTGCAACGTACAGGTGCCTAGTAAGTAAGTACTTTGTTATGCACAGGTGATAGGATAAGCCGGTTATCCCATGACTGGTAAGCAATCGTCGTTGCCATGGGCACCTAAAACACCAGCGGCGTTACAAGTGTATTACCTGCCTTTTGAGGATTAGGAATTTGAAGATTGTTGGAGATTAGGGAGATTGGGAAGGTGTTATGGGGCTTCCGATGTAACTTACTAAACTTCTAGATAACTCATACCTAAGTAAGTCTTTATTATTTTTAAATCCTTGACTGTCGGTAGAG